GGGGGGGGGTCATTGATCTCTTAGAATTTGACTTATCCATGGAAGCGAACTGAGCTGCATTGAAAAAAGTTGTAAAACTAAGTACTGCTGACAACTCTAAAATGGTGATCTAAGTGCATTGTTGCACAACCGCATCGTTTAAAAATAAAGCATAGGCCTACTTAGTCTCTTGTTCACGCATTCATCAAAGATTACCTACCAAAAAATTAAATCTTACTTATCAATAGACCTACATTAGAACAGAAGACAACATCAGAAAGTTTTACGGCCAAAGTGTAATCAATGAGGTGGGAATTACTCTTTAACTTCAAAATTACTCACAATTTCGTAAAATTATTCACAGTTTTCTTTGGAGTAATACGTTTCAGACTTTTATTGGGTGAAGCTTCATCCGGAATTTGGTTCCAAACAGAGTCTCGTGTTGGAAGAACAAAACCTGGTTTGTGTTGTTTCCGCAAAATCCGAAACGACTGCCTCTTTGCATTTGATGGAGTGACCTGTCAGAAAAAAATTAATAAACATTACAAAATTATTATATTATTTAATCAAACTCAAACAGCAAAAATGACTCCTAAAAACTTTCAATTTCAACATCACTTTCTAAGGCGAACATTATAACATATTAATAATAAAAATATTAAAAAATATTTTTTATAATGTGGACTGAAGCCACCAGAAACCAAACTGAACAAAACGGAACCGATCCTCAAATGGGCATCATCTATTAGTATTAACTTTCACTTTCGCCTAACCATGTAAAATTTTTTTTAGCACACTGAGAAATTTACATTGCGTGCTCATGAAACTTCTACAGGCCAGCGACCAAACAAAAATATTTAAAAAAAATCTTGATCCAGTAATAAACAAGTTTTTCCATTTGGAGCCTTATACAGTGGATACCTGATATAACAGGAATGGTGGGACCAGAGAAAAAATCCTGAAAATTTATATATATCAGATCCCTGTTAAATAAGAAATACAAGGGAAGTAAGCATTTGTGGACTAATCCAGCTGTGTTTATTCATGGGTAGTTTCCCTTGCCACAAGCACCCCGTGCATGACACATTAGGCATGCGTGTAGCTAGGCTCAGGGCTAGATCGAAGTCTGCAGCCCTCTCTCGCTTCACCCGCAGTGTGAGCTTGCAGTGGGGTGGCTTGCGTGGGCTTCCTCCATCACTGCAATACTCTCTCTCTCTTACTTTTTCCACTTTGTTATCGAGCCTTTGTCCCTGCTATAACCGATTGGGCTCGGATGAGGCGCCGGCCCTGTTATTGCCGATAACTTTTAATAGAGATAAAGAGAAAGAAAAAACAGGGATTTAACTGTCATTACTGGACCCCGGTTACCACCATGTCTTGGTTTCCACAGTAATATTAAAACGGGCACCTTGTCTCAAAATCTACATACACGGTAAACCGGAATGAAAATAAATCAATATTTTGTCCTTTGCTGTCATTTGCTGAAAAAAAAAGAAAGTCATACAAGCGTCTTGTCGGGCTCGCCATTGTGACCGGTCAGTGAACCTGTGCGTGTGCATCACATTGTGAGTACCGGTTGGGGGTCACCAAAGTTCATTCAAAGCCTGTGCGCTGCGAAGTATAGGGCTCCGGAATAGGGGGATTATTTATTTTTTTTAAAAGTACAGTCGGGGGAGGGGTGGGGATGAAGGAAACACCGGATGACAAAAACTGAACTTGGAGTTCTGAACTGCCCCGTTACCGTGTACGTGACACTGAGACTACGGGCCCGATTGCCAGTTACCGTGTACATTATTGAGGCTACATGCCCGGTTTCCGTGTACATGACACTGAGACTACGTGCCCGGTTGCCGGTTACTCATACTGTGTACGTAGACACTGAGGCTAGGTGCCTGGTTACCGTGTACGTAGACAATCCGATATTAAAAACCACTCTTTGGATGCATGCATACACAGGATCACTAAAATTTAAAATGACTTTCAGTACTTACACTTACAGTAGCCTTGTTTACATAAATTGCTCATTTTGAGACAGCTACATCACCCTGCCCCCACATTTCAGTGTGTAAGCTAGTCGGCTTCATCCCCCCGCTGTCTAGATGTCTCCGCATGAGTTTAGAAAATTATTCATCCCTTCTCTTGAATTGTGTTTCTTAATGTATGTGCGGTAAATCCTTTATCATCTTTTTGATCTGCTAAACACTGTGCAGTCACTTGGCGCAATAATGCGCCGGTGAAAATTGTCCGTTCTGGGCACCTGGCGCAATTACGGCGCCAGTCCCGAGAAGTCTGTTGCAGTCGCTCTCCTGGCCGGGTGACCAGATGGGGTATTTTGTACAGCTGGCTGTGAAACTCTGCAAAGTGTTTTTTAAGGCTTACATCAAAGAAAACATGTTGGAACCATAGTTGCAAGTGACTTTTATTCCAGATCTATTTTTATGAATGGGCTTTTTTTAGATTCTGTTGGCCATCCAACTTTTAGACCGTATGCAAAGATCTGAGAAGACTATACAGATTGATTTCATATTACTACGGAAAAAGCACCGATAAGTTAAAGCAAAGATAGTACAAAATGGTCCACTCAGCCATAAAAATGTCCGCCGAAAGTCCGCTCTTTGCTTCAGATGGCGCTGCAGTCTGTTTTGAAGCTCTCTTTCGTTTCTCCAGAAGAAGAATAGGAATAGCACTTCCTTGCGAGCGCAGATCGACTGCTGTTCATCAGCTGTTCAGGTTCGTTCAGAGCGGAGTTTTAGTTGTTTTTTATTTCAATGACCTCTCGTTTCTCATTCTTAAGTTAAATTAAACGAAGAAAACAGTCGCCCCTTCTTCCAAAACAGGTTTTTTGTCAGCGTAATCATTTTTAAAAAGCGTTCTTCCGAAATTTGAATTCTTATTTTTATTAAAAAACTTGTTAGTTTCACTTTGATTTTTTAAAACACAAGTAGGGTAACTCTGTTCGCAAAGGGTGCGCATTTGTGAAGAGGGTGCCACCGAATTTTGAGGACACTTTTTTAATTGGCTCAAAGAGAGAAGTACGTGGACCCTCTTGTTATGTAGACTCTTTGGTTAAAGTTATAAAGTGTAGATCTAGATATCTAGATCTAGGCTAATAAAGACAAGCAAGTGGCTATTCTCCGGCGTCACGCCGGTCAATAGATCGGAAGCTATTCTCCGGCGTCACGTCGCCGGTCTATTACTTAAATGAATTACAATGTATTTGTCGTGAGAAAAAATTCCCATAACTTCACCACTTCGATTGATACAGATGATACATTTTCAGACACAAACTCCCTCAATTCCTCCAATTTAGAATTAAGAAGAAGTTACATTTTCACTGTTTACAAAAACGGAGATACGACAAGAAAGCACTGAAGTCGCGGAATATCAGTTAAATTTATCGAAAATTATAACAACAAGAGATACGTTAAACAGCAAGCTATACTATGACTAGACAAGATTTTAGACACAAAATAAATTTTGTTCGTTTAAAGAAACAGAATCGTTATTTTAATGAATAAAGTTACGTTTTTAGACAATTATCATAGATAAAACATAATGAAAGGTAGGTTTACTAGGCTTTAGAGATCTAATTATTGTAGATCTCAAAATCCGCGCCGACAAATACATGGTAATTCATAAGTAATAGACCGGCGGCGTGACACCGGAGAATAGCTTCTGATCTATTGACCGGCGCGACGCCGATGAATAGCCACTTGCTAAAGACAAAGTCGCAAATTTATGAGCGGCTATAAAGGGCAAGCCGTCTTTGAGTCCGAATAACATTTTTTCATATTCGGACTCGAGTCCGAATAAAAAAATTCATATTCGGACTCGAGTCCGAATATGAAAAAATGTTATTCGGACTCGGGTCCGGAAAAAAGGAAGTGTATTCGTTCTATAGATCTATCGTTCAGTGCTTCCTATTTTCCGCAATTTTTTAGTTTCCCCCACACCTTTTCTGCCGATCCGATGCCCGGCGCCTCATTGATACACCCCCCAACCCCCCATGTTTCCCACTTTCTTTGTTGTAGAAAAAGGTAAAATTGAAGATTAGCAGACCACCTTGCACCTGCATATTATGAGCTGTGTAAAAAAATAAAAAGACCGATTCATTCAAATACACAAGCCTGTGTCATCTTGATTGTTTACCAAGAAAAAGTTGAGCTGCTGTGTAGAGCTGAGCATAATATAATGACAACTTTTGATTCCATAGACCAGCGCACAATTCATTACATAGATATCTACGTCAAGACTAGCTTATTATTGTATTGTAATAAAATAATGATTAGTTGCCGGGGGAAAAAAGACTGACGCGTATGCGACGTTCAACGCTCGGACCGATAGTGCCCCCCCCACCCCCCTCCCCGACACGCACACAGCCACACGTGTGCAGGCCGCCCATCTGACCGCGACACACGCTAACGAGCCATCTTTAATTGCTTCTGAAATATTTATTAGAAGCGCTATAACTTTTCAGGCCGGCCTCAAATTCATCATAAGATAAAAACTCGGCTCCTGCACAAAACGCCATTTTTGCCCGAAGTGATCCCGGTCTCTACCCAGCCTGAGGCGAGTCACGAGTGAGGCAGGACAGGAAAGCCGGAGTCACCAGTCACAGGAAGTCGGAAGTGCAGTGGCGGTGGGTAGTGAAGGGCTCACGGGCTTGAGCCCCTCCCCCCTCCCCAACCACCACCCCCAACTCTGTCCCAAAGTAAATGAAAGTTTCTCCATAATGAAATAAACAGTTGAAACCGTTATGACCGCACGCAATGAACACAGAGTGATCAACCTGGCGGCTTGCTCGCTTATCCAATCACTGTTGTCCCCGCTTACAACTATACTAACCAAGCAGCCAATCAAATGTCTTTAGTGGCTCAGCAAAGATGAGCCCTTTTCCCACAGTCCGTCCTTAATGAAACTCTTCTTGTAAAAAGGTAGAAGACAGGGAAAAAATAACACTGTACCGAGGGCTCACGCTCTCCTAGCCCTGACAATGGCCTCAATGGGGTGAAAGTTTACGACACACTTTCCCGTACTGACACGGATACCTATGCGCTCATTGGTTCTTTGTTGGGTGCGTTCAACTTTCTTGACTACACGGCCTAATCCAGCTCATAGAAGTATTATTACTATTATGTTTGAAGTGCTGTGTGTGCATGTTTGTGTTTGTGCTGCTGAGATTTAACAGTTATAACTTTTTCATTACACGAAAACTAATTAGAGGAAATTTGGAGGTGAATCGGTTTTGTCTCCACCATCAACAAGAATTTAACTAAGAACAAAGAGATTGAAAACAAAAGCAACTCTTCTCGTTTGAATGGTTCTCTAACTGCCGTGGCTCACCCTGAGTATAGAAAAATCATCACTGTTTAATTCTTATTGCTTGCTATTTGGTGGTAAAAAACTGAAAGCAACCTAAGCCCCACCCAAATTTTGGTCCACCCACCGCCACTGCGGAAGTGATGTCATGCTGGACAAGAATCAGAGTCCGAATAACATTTTTTCATGATATTCGGACTCGAGTCCGAATAGTCACTTCGAAAGGGCAATGGCAACGGCACTGGGCATTGTTGAAGCATTCCATCAACTGCGCAAAGAGTAAATTTCTTGTCTCTTAATCTTTAAGTGTTACCTCGACGTCATCGTTATTCCGCGACTGATGACGGCGGCTGCTGGGAAGCCTACTGTTGTTGTTATTGTTGTCCTCAGAATCAGAGCCTGACGACGATGATATCGATCTAGCGTTCTTCCTTCTGCGTTTGGTACTTGCGCTCATATTAAAACTTCAATGTTTCAAAAATATTGAATAACCAATGCACGACATGAAAATATTCCAATTCCTATGCTTTCGGGGAAACAACAATGTACGAAGTATTGGAGTTAATGTTGACTTTCGTTTTGATTATCGCTTCTCCTGCACTTGGCTCTTGTGCACTGTCCTCGCAGTTGGGTTTGGCGTTTATTGTTGTATCACTGTATGCCTAAATGCACACATATTTCTATTACAATGTTTTTGAAGATAACTTCACTAGCCTATATATTTACAGAGAAAATTTTGTAAATTAATATTAATTTATTTGAATATTTCCCCCTTCTCTTTTATGCTTTCTTTTGTTCTAAATAGTAAATTCTACAAGCAGTCATTATTTGGACACTGTTTGTTGATGATTATTAGTCTAAAGCGCTGGTCAAATATCTGGCTTTGTTTTGCTTCTATCCTACAATCACTTCCGCTTTCACTTTCGTGAGGGCTGAAATTCAGGTCAGGCTCAACTCGATCGACACGTGCTAGCAAGCTAAGTCGTGTTTTGAGGACCCAACTATCTTTTACTGTGATTGATGGTGAATTGACTCATTGACATGGAAACGACAACAGATACCAGCGAAAATGGAAATGATGAACAGCACGCGGTAAGTCTTTATATTTTGTGGAGCCAACAAATTGCGACGAAACACGGAATTTCCCTCCAACGCCGACGCACCGCACAGCAACGACCACATAAACAAACATTATAAACGTCTGACCTCAAACACCTTTTAAAATCTTCAGTTGAGTAGTTACTTAAAGACTAGTCTAGATTCTAGATCTAAATCTAAATCTAGCCCTATAAATTGCTATCTGTTTTCTGCTTAGTGGTTATACGGGGTGCCCACTCAACTGCCACAAATCGGGCCAATCGCCTGAAACTGAAGAGTTTGTTTTTTAGGCGATCGAGTTGGGCGATCGGCCAATCCCATCCATAGTGGGCACCCCGAATTAGGCTACCGGACTCGTAATCGTGGGGTCGGGGGTTCGAGCCGCGGGCCCGACGTTAGTGTCTTTGGGAAAGGCACTTTACTTTTACACGAATTTTGGTATTTTTTCACTTTTCCCTCCCGTCTCACACTCAGCTAGATCTACCAGTTGTCTAATTTCTACTAAATATTGATGCGCTGAACACGAATATCAACTTCATTTCCGTCGCAAATTAATAGTTTTTGAAATATTTGATTGTTTTTAACCGAGATCGTCATGCTTTGGACCAATCGGGGGGTTCCAGGGGGGCCTGCCCCACTGGGGTAAAAGAAAATCTGGGGGGTTACAGGGGGGCATGCCCCCCTGTTTTTACCCATAATTTGATATTTTACAGTTAGATTTGAAATTGTCTTGAAAATAATTGATTTGCGACAGTATTAGTGGCTCTATGTGTGATTTGCAGCAAACATTACTGCAATTTGACCCCTGAAACAGTGCATCTGTGTGCGGGAGTGAAAGTCAAAATTTACCCGAATTTTCCTCACTTCACCCCGTTGGGAATGGGTACCCGGCCATAGACAGTGAAAGATCTTGTCCGTATCTTAGTGTTTTAGACAGCGAAAAATCTTGTCCGTATGTTAGTGTTTTAGTTTTAGCGCCTTGATAATAAATGGCCGCTTGCACGGTATCAAAGATAGTGTATAACAAGATGGGCCACTCAGCCAAAAAAGTGTCCGCCGGAAGTTCGCTCTTTGATTCAGATGGCGCTGCAGTCTGTTTTGAAGCTCTCTTTCGTTTTTCCAGAAGAAAAATAGGAATAGCACCTCCTTGCGTGCGCAGATCGACTGCTGTTCATCAGCAGTTCGGGTCTGTTCAGTGCGGAGTATTACGTTTAAAAAAATTTTAATGACCTCTCGCCTTTCATTCTAAAGTCCAATTAAACGAAGAAAACAATCACCCTTTCCTCTGGAAGAGGTTTTTTGTCAGCGTAACCATTTTAAAAAATGCATTCTTCCGAAATTTATTCAAAAACTTGCTAGTTTCACTTTGATTTTTTAAACTCAAGTAGGGTAACTCTGTTCGCAAAGGGTGCGCATTTGTGAAGAGGGCGCCACCGAATTTTGAGTACACTTTTTTAATTGGCTCAAAGAGAGAAGTGGCCCCTCTTGTTATGTAGACTCTTTGACTGTATTCTGTATGCTTCCAAGGAAGTTGAGGTTGTTTCAGAATGCTCTCATATAGAGTCTGCTGGGGTAATAGTATAGATCTAGGTTGTGAAACGCATAGAGCCTGCTGTTGAGCAGGGATTTGCGCTATACAGTTGCTAGATCTAGATTCTAGATTATCTATTATTATTACGAAGTGACTATTTCTCCGAAAGTTTGGAGAAATAATGCCGATCTTTATTTCTCCGAACGGTTTCCGGCTTCCGGTCTCGTGATTTTTGGCCTATTTATTGCGAGAGTTCGGCGCCAACTTTCATTCTGCCTCTGGTCTGGGAAGGAACACCGCATGGCAAGCCCGCCTACAGACAACCTTCAGTAACACCCACCACCATCATGCACATGTACACACACTAACTAAACATGACCAGTGGGCAACTTTTGAACGTATGACGAGCTGAGCTGTGGATGGAGAGACAGTGTGGCTGAAAGAGCGTGTGAAAGGAAAAATGTGCGAGTGTATCCACAGGCGACAGCAACTACAAGACGACACTGACCCCCCTGGCCTGGTCCACAGCTCACGAACGAAAGGAATGCAGCTCAGGCAGTGTTTTGCCTATATTATTGTCCATGGTTCGCAGGGTGCAAGGGAATGAGTGAGATTTTCTTTGTGTGTGCCTGGAGGGAGGGGGTGGGGTATGAAAGTCATGCAGACGGGGATCAGCCGCGGGAGAGAACAGGGGAATTAAATGAATGATTGAAACTGAAAGAGATGAACGGCTCATGAGCCATGGAGTGAATGGATCCTGTGTTTCTATTTTTGTATACTTTGAACTGTTACTGAATAAAGGCTGAAATAAAGCCCGAAAAACAAACACACACACACACTCCTCACTCTCCTCACTCTCCACTTACAACCACACACAGACACACTCATACACGCACATACACACACACACACACACACACACACACACAGGAGCAAATTTTTGGGTCTATATCTATTTCAATTTTCAAGAGCTAGTCTAGAGATTTTTAGATGAGTGTAAAAACGTAAAAAAGAAAGGTTTCACAACAGAAAGAAATCAAAATTAGAACAGCCCATAAACAACAAACATTAATAAATAAGGGCGTGTGTCCACCTGTCCGAAGAAGATTGGCTGTTTTAACCTTAAATGTGCGTAATTTTAAAAAAAAGTACAGGATATTACATGTAAATTATGGAATCACACACATTAAGGGGCTTGCCAGTGTCAGTACATTGGTTGCAGCAGTGACAAACGCAGATGCCAGTTCTATGTGTCGTTATCAATAACCCTCCGTAGATCTAGATCTAGATCTAGACAGCACACGAGTGAACACAACACATTACGTTTAAGTTTAAGAGCAGCACCCTTCATAGGCAACACGTCATATCTGTAGCGAAAAACTGTTTGGAGTTGTAGCATTTCTTTATATAAATATTTACTGCGGATATTTTTTGGACCGATTGAACCATATTGTATACGAACAATCTTTGGTAGGCCTATACTATAATTATAGATCTTTATAATATCCGAAATTTTAGGGAAAGGATGAGATTTCAGAGTTTTCGGAGAAATAATGCCCAGCTTTATTTTCCCGAACGTTCGGAGAAATAGTGCCTAGCTTTATTTTCCCGAAGGTTCGGAGAAATAGTGCCCAGCTTTATTTTCCCGAACGTTCGGAGAAATAGTGCCGGCCTTATTATTATTACTTGATAAAAATAGCACGTGTTGAATCGATTACTGTGTGGCATCGCTTCTTCTAGCTGCGTCTTCTAGCCGTGGCTATCACTAGATCACACTAGGCTACAAGCGGATAGCTAGAGGATGACAACTAGATGTAAATGCCATTGGTTGATATTAATAGTTATAGCCATCTTGTTTGACGTCATTTAGGGATTCCCACTTTGTCAGTTATGAACTGGTAGCAACACGACAGCTCAATGGCAGCCTGCTGACTGGTATTTTAATTTTGGAAGTGACTATTTCTCCGAAAGCTCGTCGAGTGAAAATAAACTTGATCTATAGATTTTCTAGGTGTATTTCTCCGAATGGTTTCCATTCTCGAGATTTTTTTTATCTTTTCGAGAGTTGAGCGCCATCTTCCATTCTGCCATTCTGCGTGGACTGGGAAGAAGCATTTTTGGATCGACAAATTGAAACATAGCTTGATATGAACGGAGTAAGGAAGGGGGAGATAAGAGAATCCGAAAGACAGACAGAGAGAGAGAGGGAGCAAAGCAAAGTGAAAAATAAAGAGATAAGTACTTGTGCAGTGGACGGCTTGAGTTGACAGGAGCCATGAACGGGGGGGGGGGGGGGGGGGGGGGGGGTGAAGAAATAAAGACGTAGAACAAGATAAAAACAGGGAAAGAAAGAGACAGACAGAGAGAAAGATAGTGGGGGTAGGGAGGGAGAGAGAGAAAGCGACAGTGAGTGAGAAAGAAAGGAAACGAGATAGAGAATCAGAGAGAAAATAGGAAAGAGAGAGACAAACAAACAGACAGGCAGGCAGACAGATGGAGACAGTCAGTCAAATAGACAGCCAGACAGAGAAACCTAGAGAAGGAACCAGTAGAGATGGAGACAAAGAAGTAAAAGCTGCCAGAGACAAGCAAGCATAATCAGCGTCCTTTGGGATCACTTGATCCGCCTATTCATGACACCAGACCGGTTTTATCATGAATTAGTACCCGAATTGCTCACATTTCCCGCCTGTTTCCACTGGCTCTCCGCAGTTTTTTCGTTTCTTTTTTGTACATGTGCCTTTGCCCCCCTACATGTTTTCAAACAAGCTGAGGATTCCCCCCCCCCCCTTCCTTTTATGCCTTTCCCCCAGGCATTCGGAGAAATGGGGTTCAAGTTTATTTTCCCGGGCGTTCGGAGAAATAGAGCTGGTCTATAATTTTTCTTTGCAACTTGCAGAACTGTTTGGTTCGGTTGTCTGTGAATGTGCAGCACCCTTCTTCCGCCCAGATTGATTCTGATGCTGTACACTACGTAAACTGAGAAGAAGAAGAAGACTAAGAGTAGACATACGTCAATTTGGATACGGAAGCAAGTTCAAACAAAGTTCAATGATGCAGTGCAAATGATGGACCGTTAAGAACCGGATCGTTTTTAAAAAAAATTCTGTGAGCACAAGAAATGAAGCACTTACAAGAGATTGGACTCAATGGGACGCTGAGCTGCAAATGGAGTAGAACTGTAAGGGGAGGGAGCTTGGAAACCACCAGTCAGTGCAAACTGCGCTCTGCAAAACCATCCCTATTTTTCTAATCACGATCAGATGATGCGGTGGGCACCCCCCTTGCGAGGTCAAACAGGATGGCTGTTACTATAAATATCGGCCAATGGCGTTTTGTTGTTGTTCTAGCTATCCGCTTGTCTGTCAGATCTTGCTCGATAGTCGCAGTCGGCAGGAAAAAAATGATTTTAGTTTAACAAGAGTGCTCATTTCTAACCAAAACACAATGCTTTGTTGAAATTCACAGCATTATAATTCATGTACTACTGGTCTGTCCTTAATTTAAAAAAGACAAAGTCGAAGCCTTGGGTATTAATGTTCTTTCAATCTTGTCTCATATGCTTAGGATATTATTGTGTTTAGTACTTTAAAAATTTCGTGTTCATTTTTTAAATGCAGGGTTTTTTATTAATGGTCATGTTAAGATGGTTTTCGGGGCTGTTTTTACGGTGAAAACGCTGTTCTGTACTGAAGTCAAGGACCTTACAACAAACGAACCCACCTCTATCTCTTTGCGACACCGCCTGCTGCACGCCCAGTTAAACATACAAAATGGCCGCTAAGCGTGGTCACCTAGCGCGAACTGCGGCCTTTTCTTTACAAAGGATACAAAGCAGTACTTAGAAAGGCTGAAGAAGAAGCACAGAGGATGGGGCAAAGGAGGTGAGGGGGTGGGGGCAGAAAGTGGAGATGAAAGCAGACCTGCTAGAGAGCAGGAAAGGATGTGAAAGGAGACCATTTTAGAGAAGAAAATTTTTCTGTCGCTACCCAGATTCGATCCTGGGACCTTTGAATGAGAGAACACCTTAACCTCTAGGTCATGAGAGCCCCCATACCGTTCTACCTTTGTTTTATTTATTTTTTTTGTGCACCCGTGTCACGGTAAGGGATGAAGAGGGAAAAACCCAAATCCATTTCATTTCGCACGTCTTTTTAACAGAAGAAAAAAAAAGCGGGGAAAGAAAGACTTTGACCAAACTGCACTGAAAAAAAACCCCCAAAACTTACCCTAATTACAGTCTAACTACTAACTACTGACTTATAATCACAAAAAGTACAGAAATTACCCCCCCC